AAGAGAAACTAATGAGAAGCTATATTGGAAGCATATGTGAAAATTTCTAAGGCATTCACATAAACTTGAGCAACACAAACTCAATTAGCTCAGCAATGTTGCAGATGACAAGAGGAATACACACAGAAACAGAAGATTTTTACACTGGAAATGAACAATCTCAAAACAAGAAGCAGTTCTATTCAAAATTGTATGAAACAAAAAATACTTGGAAATTAAATCTTACAACAGAAGAAGGTTAAGACCCATTGACCAGAAAGATAAGACAGAAAGTTGAAAGTAATCAAGACAGAGCTAAATAAATGGGAAGTAGCTAATATTCAAGCACAACAAAACTCAACAGTGTTAARATCATGTTATTCGTTATTTACTGCATCCAACAGAATAAAACAAATATGACAGTATATCATTGTGCATCTTGGATCCAAAGGTYTTGAGTGCTTCTTGTCTTCCTAGTAGAACCCTCTTTCTCCATGAGCGCAAAGACTGTGTTGCTGATGGAGGAGGAGATACAATGGGGAGGAGAACCAAGGTGCCCCAACCAACAGCCAGTTCTCCCCAGAAGCAGAGCTTCCTGGTCAACACGCAGAACACAGGCCGGGTGGGCCCCCACTGTGCCCAGATTGCTGACCAGTCACCCTTGAGCTGGTACCTTATGGAGTGATTTGTTCTGCAGTCAGAGCCACCTGACACATAGACTCAGTGCAGATGGGAGGCCAGGGTTCAACAACACATTCACTGGGAGTTACTGGCCAACAACAGGAAGCCAACAGGAACTGAGTTATCTTCCCCTTGTTTAAGGTTGGGTTTCCTATTAGATGGTGTTGAGTTACACAGGTATGCATATGAACATCTGTACATGTGATTGGTAGTCACAGGGCACTCCTCCTGTGAAGAGGAAACACACAACCACTGCCTGTAGATTAGAGCCAAGCTACTGGCAGGGAAGGGATRTTCCCTCATTATCGCATAAAAGTAGGTGGATGTTATAGGTCCTTTTCTGCTGACAGATATGGGGGTCACAAACCTCACAGATGCACCTATGTGGCAGCCACAAAGATTAGGTTGGACTCCTGAGCACATGGAATGTGGCTGGTTTGCATTGAGCTACTGAGAGAATACAGTATATTTTAAAGAAATAGTACCATAAAGACAAGTAGTTAGTTAATAGTAATTGAAGGGTTATGGAAATTAACATTCCTATGAGAGCTCACCAAGAAAAATGAAAAGAGTGTGGCTTGGGAGGAGGGAGAGGAAATTAGTAAACATTTACAATGGACACTGAGGGAAAAAAACAAAAATTCATCCCTTTTGGGGTTCTTCCCCAGCATTTCCACCAAAAGCAGACATTACCCCTGCTCAAGGAGGCAAATACTAAAATACTGGGGTCTGGACTTTTTATCCTTTCCCATTGCAGATGAGTCCTGGAAGGAGAAAAGCAAATAGTCATGCTCTAGTAACAATGGGTCCCAGAGATCAGGGAACACCTAGTTGTGAGCTTTTCCCAATGACAATAAGTTTTAAACTTTTTACAACTGCATTCTTGAGTTAAAATTTTAGCTTGCACTACTAGGTCCCTGAGCAGCCAAACTGCATGTCTACAATCTCCAATGATTAATTCATCCTCATTGTAAACTATGAAACCCAAACTCCTGTAACCCTGGGGAGGCATTTCCATACCCAGAAAATGAGCCCTCCTATGCCTGATGGATTGTCTTCCCTGCAGAATAAAGGAAAGTTGCTGACATTAAAGAGTTGCTGTCTCCTGCCTCAGTCATTTGTGGGCCATGCACTTACAGTAATACCTCATTGCATCGGTTGCACAGAAAAATAACTATATTTTACATATATAGCATTAAAGAAATCAACCATTTCACCTGTGAGACTCTCGCGTTTTGAGTCTTTTTTTTTGCTGGGGATGGAACACAGGACTTTGCCTTTGCTACAAAAACACTCTACCACTGAGTTATGCCTGAGCTACTTTACATGTTTCTTTCTTGTTTTTATGTGGCTTTCAGGAAGTTTAAAAATAAATAACACATTTCATTTCAATTAAACAGGGCCTTCCTTTCCATAGCTGGGGCTGAGCCATTTAAAAGAACACAGGTGAGGAAGGTCATGCAATTTTAAATCGTAATAAAATTCTCAAGTTACTCCCAATCGTGAACAGCACAGTTATTTGTACATATCGCTGACATTCGTTAGTCCTCTTCCCCTGTTGCCTTCTACACCAGGATGAATATAAACGTTTCCCGCCAGGCTCAGGTCCCAGCTCGCCAAGGAAGCCCTGCCTGAAAAGGGCTGGGCCAAGAGGCTGTCTTCTGGACTGTATCAGCCAACGATTGGGTTAGAATAGCTGTCACTCAAGGCTGCTACAGTACCTGGAGGCGGAGCAGGAGAGGAACTGTCCAATTAGGTGCGCAGAGGAAGGTGAAGGGCGGGYTCTCGCAATCTCGCGGCTTTTCTTCTCCCTTGCTGAGCTCCTTCCTCCTTTGCTCCTTTGTCCTCTTCTCCGGATCCCCGGGGACTCGCGTAACCTGGCGCCCCGAAGAGTTCGGAAACCAGACGTCCCTAGAAAGGACGGCGGGTCACCCTGGAGCCCCCAAACGGTGAGTGTGGCCAGGACTAGCGGGATCCGGTGAGCACTTGCTTTGGCGACCAGAGTGCCACTGGTGGATGACCCTGGGCCCTATCCCTAGTCCCGAGGGGTGGGAAGTGCTTGGTGGCAGGTCCCCGAGGTCACCCTGCTGGCGGGTGGCCCTGGACCTTGTCCCCGTGGTCCCGCGGAGTGGGATGGGTGGCAGGTCCCCGAGTTCAGCTGCAGAGGGTGACCCAGTCCTCTCTGGCTAATCGTCCTGGGTCGGTCTCTCTCAGGGCTGGTCCCTGCCCTCTTCCGTTCCCTGTTGGTGACCTCCCTGGGTCATATCTAGGCAGCACGCAGCCTGACGCTCCCAGAGTGTGAGGTGAGCAGGGGAGGGTAACAGGGAATCTGGACTCAGGTGTGTTCTGTCAGTCAGAAGTTGGCCTTTGGGGGTCTTGGTCTGTCCGTGTTTTCTCCACAGAATTAACCTGTGCACCCTACAGCACATACTCCTAAATGTGCAAGAAGCTGGGTATGAAATCCATTTTCCATTGGGACCTTTGCTCCTACTAGTGTTGGCAGCAGACCTCTACAATTCCAGTTCCCTGCCCGCATTCCCAGATGGCAGCTGCACTCTCCAGGGCGCACTTTATCATCGATTTGCTCCACAGCCTACTGTTCAAGTAGACAGTGCTATCTTTTTCCTTTTCTTTTTTCTTTTGGTTCCCAAGATTGAACTCTTGGGCATTTGGCCACTGAGCCCCATCCCCAGCTCTATTTTGTATTTTATTTAGATACAGGATCGCATTGAGTTGCTTAGTGTCTTGTGGTTGCTGAGGCTGGCTTTGAATTCGGGATCCTCCTGCCTCCATCTCCCCAGGCACTGGGATTGCAGGCATGTGCCACTAAACCTGACCAGATAGTGTTTTAATTGTGGTAGTTTCACCTTTTAACGAATAGCACTTTTAAAGATTTTCTTTTCTTTTCTTTTTTTTTTTTTTTTATGTGGGCCAAGATTTCCCACGAGTGGAAAGCAAAGAGGAATTACCTGGAACTTGAGTTTTTGTGTTTATAAAGCACTTATGCATCTCTTCTTCTTCCCAGGTACAAACACCTGTGCAGAGTCTTTGAGCAGAGGTGTCCTTTGGATACCACACAGGGTCCTGTGTCTTCAGTCATTGTTCTGTCTTTTCCTGGGGCTGCTGCAATCCTATGTTTCAGTGTGCCTGCAGCGCACAGGTGTCCTGTGATCTGAAAGGTGCAGGCAATTTTAGGCTCTGCATCAGCTCCTCCTAGAGGACAGCCTGAGATGTGGCGTACAGCCTCTCAGGGGAGCAACTAGAGACACCCAGGTTAGGCAGTGAGATGCTGGTGTTGAGGGAACATGACATATATGGTTCCTACCCTTTGGATGGGCTCAGAGCTTTGAAGGAAGAACAGTTATCCTAAAGAGCAGGGAAAACTGACCCCAGCAAGGTGGAGCAAAGCCCTACAAAGCACTTCAGCAGCAGGAGGGAGGTGGAAGGATGTACCTGGTGACAGAAGCCTGACCTGAAGCTGGTCAGTRTCCAGTGGTGCTGCAGCTAGCTCCCCGGGTTTTTGCCTTGGAAAGACTGGCTCAGGTATTTTAGTGTCAGTTTTTCTATTAATTGTAAAATGTAATTTATTAGTAGGGTTGATTAGGAAATATTCCTAAAGGGTAAGAGAGAGAGATAATTCAAGGGGAAGAAAGAAGGCTAGAAACAGAAAACAAGCAAACACTTGATCCTATATTATTTTAGTTAAAAATTCTTAGTACTGTTTCTCTTCACCAGAGTGAGTTTACTGAGTTTCTCAGATGCCTTCTTTTATTTATTTATTTATGTGGGGGGCGTGTTCTACCAATTTAAAATAGAATTCCAGGGCTTTGCTTTTGGAATGTTATGTGGGAATAGAAAAAAGGGAAATCCTATGTTGCAGTGTGCTTGCAGTAGATATGAATGCATTCCCAGATGAAAGTGTGGTAGAGAACTTGGTTTCTTTCTTTTCTTTTTTTTTTTTTTTGTGGTGCTGGGGATTGAACCCATGTCTTTGTGCATTCGAGGCAGGCACTCTACCAAATGAGTTATATCCCTAGCCCAGAAGTTGGTTTCTTTTTTACAAAATTCAACCTCACAAGGGCTTTGCTAACTTGCTGAGGTTGGATTTTAACTGGTGTTCCTTCTCTGTCATCCTCCAGAGTCACTGGGATTACAGGCCTGCACCACTGCAACTCTCTAGTTAAAATTTCTTATATATCTTTTTCTCTTTTCAGATGTGTTTTTTACTGGGGTTTTGGGGGTGGAAGAGTGGTTTAAAATAGAATTCCAGGACTTGGCTTTGGAAATGCTACCTGGAAAAGAAATAGGAAAGATCTTGTTTCAGTATGGTTGCAGAAAGTGAGTACATTATCCCAGTACCTATGGTAGAAAAGTTGATTCATTCATTACAAAGATTCACCAAAACATCCGCTCTTGTATTTTGGAGGGGAGGGCAGCAAGGACAGGGCAGGATCAGATCCCAGGGCAGAGAATGTTTCACCACAAGTCAGCCTGATCTCAGGAGGGGTCAGGAAGAAGTGTATATACTGGCTCTAGCTACCAGTGGGTCAGAGTTTAGGGTTCTGGATTAAGGAGAGAAACTTGAGTCAGTTTTGCTTAAAAAGTATTTTTCTGATCCCTGAAAACGAAATCCCTAATTGCTTATGAGAAAAAAGAAGAGGGGAGGGATTTTCAGGATCAGTGTGTTTCTGCCATGGGCTAAAAAGGAGCATCATTTGAGTCACAATGGGAAGAGGGTGTCTGTGCAGGAACTGCTCTAGCAGAATGCAGAGGAGGGGTATTTATTCAATCTTAGATTTTTTTCACAGGAGTCCCTTTGGCACTTTCTTTTTCTTACATATCTTTTCCATTTTGACCAATCCTAAGTTGAGTCTTTTAAATTGAACATAAATGATGTGCTTTGTTAAAATCAAATCATTGAAGTTGAATAGGGGATGATAGGAGTCTCCAGTTTGTAGTTCTTTGCTCTCAGCAGGACTGGCCCTCCTGCCCTGCAGCTGGCATCTACAATGGGGCAGTGTTGTGGAGCTGACCCTGAGCTAGGGTTTGTGCTGACTGGTGGTGTCAGAATTGAACTTTTGAGTGACCAGTAGTTTTGGAGAATGGATTGGTGTTCATCAAACTCACGTTGTAGGTGTCAGAAGTGGTTTCTTGGAAAAGGTCTCACAGGCCAGAACCTCCATGTACCTGTTGGTGGGTACTTGGGTATCAGTGAGAACTGAGGTCCTGCAGGAGGGAACATTCCACTCTGGGGAGAGGAGAGCACAGTGACCTTCCAGAACCAAATGTCCCAGCTGCTCATGTTTTCCTCATTTCCTAGGAAAATCCACCTGAGCTGCATCTACTGTGAGAATGGTCCCCAAGCTTGGGGAAGAGTTAGTCACAAAGTAGAGATTCCTGGTGTACTGTGGGTGAGAGGGTGCTTCCCTGAGCTGGTTCCTGTTGTTTTCTTTATCAAATCTTGGTGCCATAAAATTCCACTTTGTTCCAAGAATGTAGGAAGTTCTTTTTTTTTTTTCCCCTCTTAGGTACTGGGGATTGAACTCAGGGACACTCAACCACTGAGATATCCCTGGCCCTTTTTTTTTTGTATTATTGTTGTTGTTATTATTTAAATGTATAGACAGGGTCTCACTGAGTTGCTTATGCCTCCCTGTTGCTGAGCCTGGCTTTGAACTCATAGTCCTTCAGTCTCAGCATCCTAAGCCAGTGGGATAAAAGTCATAGCCTGTCACCTGGTCAAGAATTTTATTCCTTCACTGAATGGAAGATTTTTATATTATGGATTAATATTTATTTGGGTGCAGAAATTTGATGTTGAAATATTATTTTAATGCTCAGTTTAGTAAGAATTATACACCCATATATTCCTGTCCAAATAGGGATGGGTTGGTCCTGGGCAGGCTGCCCTCTCTCCCTGCTCTCTCCACCCTCTGCCTGGAGGTGAGTGCAGTGCCAGTTCTGTCATTCCTTTCAGTTTAACCAGCTGTGAGGAAGCAGAATTTTTCTTAGTTCTGTCTTATTGAGTTTTCAGTACCTTAATGTTACCATTAGTGCTCTATCACTGGAGTTCTATAATGTGCAATGTGTGGTTTCTCTGCCTCAGTTGGTTAGATTCTTGTGCTGTCTGAGTCTTTGGGTCTCCCAGTTTCCTTCCCTGTTCCTGCTTCAGGAACTTCACTTGTTTCCAGTTTCATTTTTACATTTTTGACAATTTCATTCTATTTTTAAATTTGGTCCCCAAGTGTGTACCCTTTATAATTTTGTACACATAGGGAAGTTCTCAGGTTATTGATAATGGGTAAACTGCTGCAGTGTGAGGAGCAGCTTTCTCACCATTCATCCATTTACCCTCCTACCTGTCTATCCTTTTTTACTTCCATGTGGCTATATATTGCTTTTCACTGAATACCATTAGTATGAGCATTTTTCTGTGTATTTCCATGGTCTTTTAAATGGTTTTCAGTCATTTTCTCATGGAATTTATTTTTAGGTTATATTTTTTTGTCTTTTAATTTTCCCTTCAAATGAATTCATGTCTCTTTGTAAACACTGCAGACATCTGCCCTGAGGTAGGGTAGCCTTCTTGCCCCCTATTGCAGTTTGGTGGAAGAGCCCCCTTTTTATAGATGTATCATTCTTTTTTTTTTCCTTTGAATTTATCTTATTAAGTATATCTGTAGAACAGGAAGCATGGTGGATTTTGAGAGATAAATTCTTAGGTGTCCCCTCCTGGACACAGGGAATGAGCCTTTCTGGGGCTACATTTCAGCAGTCAGAGTCTGGCTCCCAATATGGGAATGTGATTACCCCTTTGCAAGTGGGTATTTATTCTGAACTGTGAGTGAGGCAGGCTCTAACCTGAGCTGGTTCAAATGTTTGCTTGTTCTTTCACTGAGTTTTTTTGTAATTGTCATGTAATTCATTTTTTATGCACTTAATACTTGTACTTCCTGATTGTCTTTTTTTTATTATTATTATTATTATTATTATTATTATTATTATTGTCTGAAAATGAGTTGACAGAGTGAAAGTGTGAGGAGGCTTTGCCCAAGAAGCCCCAGCCTTTTCCCAAGTGATTTATGCCTGGCTCCCTCCTTCCCAGTCAGGCCTGACCAGGCACACATCTTCTGTGAGGTCCTGGTAGGCTGCCTTGGAACCAAGGCTGAAATTCCTCACATATGCCTGGGACTCTGTGCCCAGAAGAGCTTCCTAGCCAACAGGACCTGCTGTGGAAAGCCAGGCTCAGCTCTGCATGAGTGGAARTGTCCCCCTGGTGGGGCAGGTCCCCTTGCAGGGAGGAAGTCCTGCCTGAAAAGGGCTTTTGCCAATACCTTGTCTTCCTGGCCTATGTATCAGGAGTGTGATGCATCTCCTGGCAGTCAGGGCCCCAGAGTGTGCATATTTGTGTTGGGGAGATAGAGGGGTCTTGTGGAGCCTTGGCTAGTTAGCAGGCAGCTGGTGGGAGGGGGTGGCCTTCCATAGTCTCAGAAGCCTATATCTCTCACCCTGTGGAGCTCAGAATCCATCTCCAGGACTGTGTCTTCTCTGCTGTGTGAGGCCCAAGTGGCTCTGGCTCACATTTGTCTCCCTGTGACCTGCAGGTGCTATGAGGTCCATAAGAAGGATGTCAGGTCTCCCCAGAAGGCGGAAMATGGTGAGTGTGTGGGGCAGGTCTGGTCAGGTGGGAGGTAGGCTTGTTACAAGTGATGAACCTGCTGTGGCTGGCCTCTGGCCTCCCACTGTCATCTCTATAGTCACCCAAGAGTACCTGAGTCAGATGCTGCTTTAGCTCAGCCCTTGATGGCCATGGTGTGGGCTGGTGCAGGTGGGTTCCCAGTGTGCTGCCTGGTCTGCAGCTACTTTGGCAGAATTCTCTCTGCCCAGCTGGACCCCAGCCCTAAGTACTCAGTGTGAAGTGAAGGCAGCGGGTCTCATGGGATCCTGCCTTAGGTGTGGGGCTCTTGGGTAGAAGATGCTGGTCTGAGGGATCTGTGTTTCTTCTCTCAAGGAGTCACCCTCCTTTCCCCTTCCTATGCCCTACCAGGGCTTTTGGTACATTCTTAATATTCCTGTCCTTTTCTCATATTTACAGATCTGACTCTCCCTCCAAGTTCACAGCATTTTCATTTCTTTTTGTGAATTTTCCATATGATGAAAGGAGAGAACAGTCACCTGGAACTTCACTGTAAAGAGAACTTGTGCCTCCCTCCCTCTCTCCCTCCCYCCCTCCCTCTCTCCCTCTCTCTCTCTCTCTCTCTCTCTCTCTCTCTCTCTCTCTCTCTCTCTGTTTTTCCTTCCCCAGGAATTGATACCTTATCAAATTGTGGAGAGGTTTCCTTTGGACCCCTGACAGGGTTCCGTGCTTTCAGCCACTGTATTGCCCCGCTTGGGGCTGTGTCAAGTTCTGTAGGCTGCCCTGTGTCCTACAGGAAGCAGGCAATTTTAGGCCCTGGGTCAGCTCCTTCTAGAGGACATTATGAGGTGTGTCATTCAGCTTGTGAGGGGAGCAGCTGGAGGCCCTTATGCTGAGGAATCTCYTGGAAYAGGCCTCATCTAGACAGCTGCCTCCTAGGGACACTGTCTCCCCCAAGCCCTGTTCCCATTCCTTGGAGACAGGTGGACAGTGAGCCTGTGGATGCTGGTGCTGAGGGGCCAGGTCAGCAGTGATTCCTGCCCTTGCATTCTCTCACAGTTGTGAAGGAGGAAAACTCTCCCAGAGCATAAGGACCACCCACCCCAGTGCAGTGCTATGCAAACCTGATAAGACTTGTAGCCTGGAGTCATGGTCAGGTTTCCTGGGAGGGTGATCATGGAGTGTTTCAGTGAGCAGGACCAGGTGGGATGATGTCCAGCTGGCAGGGACCTTATCTGCCCCTTAAGCCTGACACATCTGTGCTCCCTCAGCACCAGCCCTTTCTGTCACTTCAAATTCGTCTGCTTACTTATCAGAGACCTAGGTATTCCTTAAATGTCAAATGTATTTATTCAGGGGTGAGGTTAAAAAAAAAAAAAGAAAGAAAGAAAAAGAAAAAAAATCTTCTATTTGATCATTGTTTTCATTGGACTTGCTTTAGGACTTTAAGAAAAAAAGCTCCTAATAGGTTATGTTTTGTTATTCCCATTTCCTTTGTTGTGCTGAGTGTCTAACCCAGGGCAGTAGTTTTCATATATTCTCAAATTGCACCCCCCCCCCATTTGTATTAGTATATTAGTTATACGTGATATTAGGGTTTGTTTTATTTATTTATCTTTTTGCTGTCAGGGATTATACTCAGAGGAACTTTATCACTGAGCCACATCCTGGGCCCTTTTTATATTTTATTTTTAGACCATCTCCCTAACTTGTTTAGGGCCTCACTACATTGCTGAGGCTGGCCTCAAACTTGCATCCTCTGCCTCAGACTCATCGGTTGCTACTGTTAAAGGTGTATACCTCCTTGCCTGGCTAATGTTGGGTTTTACTTTTTACATAATGTGCAAACATTAGGTTGGTGTAAGTTACTCCACTTCAGTCCCCAGTAATTTTCCTTTCTCTCCTACTTTCCTTCTGTTTCCTTACCTCTACTCACTAGATTTCCTACTATTATTTATTTCAAATTTATGCTTTATGRATCAACATAATGGTGGAATTCATCATGATATGTCATCTATGTGCGTAGGATGATCTGTTCAACTCCACTCCAGTGTTCTCTCATTTCCTGTTTCTTCCCTTATCTCAGTCTCTGTCCTCTTCTTCWCCTCCCTCTCTTCTATTTTCACGGGATCCTGCCTATCCCACTTTTTGTCCTGATTTTGCTCTTGCTTCCACATATGGGAAAGAAAACATTCAGCATCTGAGTTTCTGGCTCTCACTTATTTCACTTAGTATGTTGTCTTCCAGTTCTACCCATTTTCATGCTAATGACATACTTTCATTTTTTATGACTGAGCAAAATCCCATTGTGTATGTGTACCTCAATTTCTTTATTCTTTTTTCTCTTSATGGCATCCTGGGCTGGCCTTGATATGGTGAACTGTGGTGTGACTTTATCACTGTAGCATGTTGATGTTGCACAGGGCGCTCAGGCTGCTCCCTACAGGATGGTGCTGAGTCCCAGGGTTTGTAGTAAGGACTGAGGTGCATCATGAAGTTATGTGAAATTTGAGGCTGTTCCAGGGTCACATTTGTCCTGCTTCATTTTCCCTGTTTCCGTGTGGAGCAGCTCCACTGCTATTTGGCTGACCTTCTACTCCCTGAGGCTGCTGTCATTTCTCTTCTACATGGTGTTCCAGGTACCATTACTGCACCCTTGATTACTGCCGACTTGAAGTGAGCTCTGTACTCATGAAGTGCTAGTCAAACTGCTGTTCTTGTTTTCAAAGTCCTGTGGTATTCTGGGTCCCTCGTAATGTTGAATGACATTTTCAATTTCTAAAAAGGAATCATCACCCGGGATTCTGATGGRTTTAAATATAATTGGTAGATTCTTTGGGAGTATCACCACCTTAATAACATTAAACCTTTAGTCCATGAGCATAGAATGGTATTTATTTGGATGTTGAGCTACTTCCACTAAGCATTACAGTTTAGAAAACAAGTTTTATAATTTTCTATTTGCTATATATTATGTATGTATTATATATTATTATTATATTGTTTATTCTTCTATATTTATTTTTTGAGTGTCATTGTAAATGAACTTAAAGTTCCATTTCAGAATTTTATGAGTAAAAAGTTGATTTTTTGATTATTAAATTTATGAGTTTTGTTTATTAATTTTTTCACTCCTGACCTTGGGAACACGTCTTCCTCTGGGGTGCTTCCAGGTTTTGAAAATCATGAGTGCTGGTGCGCTGAACTTTGTAGGGCAGGAAATCATGTGGACCTACATTGTGAACTCATTTGGGTTTCCCCAACTTTGCGAAATGGTTTAGGGTCCAGGAGCCACCGCTCTGACACATGAGATAGGGTTGATCACTCAGCCTGTGACAGTTGAGTGGCTGTGGGCCTTTGAGGAGGTTTGTGTGAGGCCTCTGTGTGTTAGAGCCCTGGACTTCTCAGGTATCGATCTCCCCCATGTCTAAGGCTTTCTGGTAGGTTCAGCAGTGAAGAAACCCTGTCAGATGTCCTTATCCATTTGTAGTAGAGACTGTAGGGAGCAGGAAGCCAGAAATACAAGGCAAATGGGCACTGTGTCAGGCAGTCACTGTTGATGGGGTGAGAGGTGGTGAAGGGTGCAGAGGTGTCCCTCTCTCCTCCTGTCTGGGTGCCTGAGCAGCTGTCTCAGCCCATGAGTGGGTCTGAGTCTGTTACCTTTCCCACCTTTATATGGTGGAGTCCTTGGTTTTGCCTCAGTATCTGGTGCTGTGTGAGTC